ATATCAAGAACTGTTTACTACTTTTAAACATTTGAAATTTGAACATAAAACAACGAAAAAGAGTTTGAATAAATCAGAAAAGGAAGTAAACTCTTTAAAAATGAAAACGGTGTCTTTAAAAGAAAAAGAAGATGAACCAATTGCATGTGCATCATGTAAGAGCTATGAATTTGGCATTTTCATACTTGAGTATTTACTAGAAAATGCTACGATAAATATGTGTGATTGTAAAAAGAATGAAAATCAAATTTTTGTGAAAACTAAACTTAATAGTCATGTTCTTTTGAAGAGAACTAAAAATCAAAGAACCCGCAGAGTATGAGTTGTGAAAGGAACTGTACCTCCTCAAAATAGAGTTGAATCTTTTTTAAAAATAAAATCTCCAAATGCATGTTTTTATTGTATGAAACAGAGACATACTTCTAATAAATGTAGAATTAAGCATTTTGGTGTTCCTAAAGGAAAATATATTTGGATACCTATAGTTAAATAATTTGAATGTCTCTAACCCCAAGGACCAAAAAGTTATGGGGACCTAAGATCTTTGTGTTCTTATTTTATAGGCAATTTCCAAATCCAAGAAGTCTATGTAGTACCTTGACAGTGGATGTTCAAGACACATGACTAGTGATAAAAAGAAATTTGTAAGTTTCAATAAGAAAGAACAAGGATATGTAACTTATGGAGACAACAATAAAGGCAAAATCCTTGGAACCGAAAACATTGGTGGTGCAAATACTTTAGAGATAAAGGATGTGCTCCTTGTTGATGAATTAAAGAACAATCTTCTCAGTATAAATCATCTTCATGATAATGGACTTAAGGTAATTTTTGAAAGCAATTACTGCACCATACATCTTAAGGATTCTAAGAAATTGCATTAAAAGGTATTAGGCATAACAATATTTATTTGTTTGATTTGGATTGTGCATCTGATGTTGATATAACATGCTTAATTGTTAAAGAAGAAAACCCTTGGTTGTGGCATAAAAGAGTGGCCCATATTCATATGCATCAATTAAACAAATTAATCTCTAGAGACTTAGTTGTTGGTTTGCCTAAGTTAAAATTTGAAAAATATAAATTATGTGATGCATGTCAAAAAGGTAAGCAAGTAAAATCATCTTTTAAAACTAAGAACATAGTTTCAACTTTAAAGCCTTTAGAACTTTTACATTTAGATCTTTTTCGACCATCTAGAATTAAAAGCTTTGGAGGAAATTTTTATGCTCTTGTGATTACTGATGACTACTCTAGATTTACTTGGACATTTTTCTTAACTTTGAAAAGTGAAGCCTTTAAGGTTTTTAGAAAGTTTGCAAAACAAGTTCAAAATGAAAAAGAGTTAAGAATTAAAGTGTTAAGAAGTGATCATGGTAGAGAATTTCAAAATGAGTCTTTTGAAAATTTTTGTGAAGAAAAAGGTATTTTACATAATTTTTCTACACCTAGAATGCCCCAACAAAATGGTGTAGTAGAGAGGAAAAATATATCCTTAGAGGAACTAGCTAGAACTATGTTGAATGAATCCAAAGTTCCTAAATACTTTTGGGCAGATACTATAAGTACTACATGTTATGTTTTAAATAGAATGTTCATTAGACCTATCTTGAAAATCACTCCTTATGAGCTATTTAAAGGGAGAAAATCAAATGAAGCTCATTTGAAAATCTTTGGTTGTAAATGTTTTGTGTTAAATAATGGTAAAGATAACCTAGGTAAATTTGATTTCAAAGCCGATGAGGCTATTTTCTTAGGTTATTCTCTTACTAGCAAAACATATAAAGTATTTAATAGAAGAACATTAAATATAGAAGAATATATGCATGTTACTTTTGATGAAATTGTAAACCTTGAGGAAAATCCTCTTGAGTCAAGAAAAGAAAATGCAGGTGATGAAGAGTACCTCAAGGAAGCATTAGAAGAAATGTACTTAAATGAAAATGAATCATCTCAACCATCCGAGTTAGCAAAAGTATGACAATTACCAAGAGGACTATCACTTGACAACATAATTGGTGATATTTCAAAAGGGGTAAGTACTAGAAATATGTCTAATTTATGTATGACTATAACTTTTGTCTCACAGATAGAACCCAATAATGTTGAGGAGCCCTCAAGGATGATTAATGGTATATTGCAATGCAAGAAGAATTAAATCAGTTTGAAAGAAATCAAGTATGGAAATTTATTCCAAGAGAAGAATCTCATCAAGTAATTGGAACTAAATGGGTATTTAGGAACAAACTTGATGAAGATGGAAACATAACTAATAATAAAGCTAGACTTGTGGTAAAAGGGTACTGTCAAGAGGACGGTATAGATTATGATGAGACTTATGCTCCTGTTGCCAGGTTAAAGGCTATATACCTACTTCTTGCTTATGCTGCAATGATGAAATTTAAACTATATCAAATGGATGCGAAAAGTGTTTTTCTAAAATGTTTTATTAAAGAAGATGTATATGTGAAACAACCTCCGGGTTTTGAAGATTTCAAATACCCTAATCATATTTTTAAATTGAAAAAGGCACTCTATGAATTAAAACAAGCTCCTAGATCATGGTATGAAAGGTTAAGCAATTTTCTATTAGCAAATGATTTTTTTAGAGGAAAAATTGAATCAACTTTGTTTATTAAGATACTAAGTGAACATATTCTGTTAGTTCAGGTATATGTTGATGATATTATTTTTGGATCTACTGATAAATCTCTATGTGAAGGATTTACAAGTATTATGCAAAATGAATTTGAAATGTCCATGATGGGAGAATTAACCTTCTTCCTTAGAATTCAAATTAAGCAATTAAAAGATGACACTTTTGTGTCTTAAACAAAATACTGCAAGGAGATTCTCAAGAAGTTTGGAATGGATTCTTCAAAAGAAGAAAACACATCAATGGGAACGTCCTGCTATTTGGATAAAGATGAATCAGGTTTGGAAATAAATCAATCTATGTACAGAGGTATGATAGGTTCTTTATTATACTTGGCTGCAAGTAGGCGTGATATTATGCAATTTGTCTGTGTGTGTGCTAGATTTCAGGATTGTCCAAAAGAATCTCACTTAACTGCAATAAAAAGAATTTTAAAATATTTTAAAGAAACCACAGGATTTGGGTTATGGTATTCTTCTGGAGTTTCACCTAGCTTAACAGGTTTTTCTGATGTTGATTATAGGGGTTGTAAGATAGATAGAAAAAGTACTAGTGGAACCTGTCATCTATTAGGATCTTCCTTAGTATCCTGGCACTATAAGAAACAAGCATGTGTTGTTTTATCCACAACTAAGGCCGAATATATAGCGGCTGGAAATTGTTATGCTCAAATTCTTTGGATGAAGCAACAATTAGAAGATTATAATATATTTTTTAATAAAATACCTTTGAAGTGTGATAATACGAGTGCGATTAATCTTACTAAAAATCCTATTATACAATCTCGAACTAAGCACATTGAGATTAGACATCATTTCTTAAGAGATCATATTAATCAGGGAAATTATAAAATTGAATATATAGACACAAAACATCAATTAGCATATATATTTATCAACTTTCCAATGATAGATTCTATGAACTTAGGAAAGATTTAGGAATACTAGAAATATCCTAACTTTTGGAAAAATTGTAAAATCCTTAAAATCCATTCTGGAATAATCGATTATCAAGGAAAATAATCAATTATTTTGAGCCTAATAAATCTTCACATTTGAAAAACTCTCTGAAATAATCGATTATCCAAAGAAATAATCAATTATCCCATGTATAATACATCTTATCATTTTCAAAACTCTCTGGAATAATTGATTATTTCTAACAATAATAAATTATCTTGCTACTCTACAAAAACTAAAAGCTCTTTGGAATAATCGATTATTTCAAGTGATAATCGATTATCCATGTATTTCTGGAAAATTTCTGGGTAGCAGATGAATAAATAATATATTATCTCAGGGAATAATCGATTATCCTACATCGTTGGATGAAAAATAGTCATTGACAACAACTCTCTTTGCATTAATTATGGTGTTTATAGCCATTTATAATCGTTTATGATCGTTTGAAGTGTTATCTATTTATAGAAGGAGTCATAAAATCGTCCAAACTCACTCCAAGCCTCTCTTTCAAGTATTTTCCATTGATTCTAAGCTTTTCTCTCCCTCTCATACCATTCTTTTTTGTATCCAATCCCCATCCTCTCTACATTCCTCTCAAATGGCTGAATCATCCAGAAGAAAGATCCCCACCAGGAGAAGATTTGCTCCTGCTTCTCAACCACGACTAAATTTCATTGATGGATGGATCTCTGATGATGATAAGAGACAAGAGTTTCTCACCTTTTGAAAAGAAAGGAGTATAATTTCTCCCAAATTCTTAAATGGAGATCAGTTCATCAACCGGGGATTCCAATTCCCAAATCTTCTTGCTCAACAAGGAGTCTTACCCTTCGTTGAAATGCAAGGTGCATACTATCCTAACTTAGTAAGAGTATTCTACTCTCGCTTCAAATATAGAGACCATATTGCTACCACGAGAGTCAACGACATCACCTTCATCCTTGAAGATGATATATGGGAAAATGTAGCAAAATTTCCTATCTGGGATGATGTTGTCAATGTGCTGATGGATATGGACGACTTTGATAGGATCATGACATACCACTCCTTCCTTTGTAATCCTGCACTACAAATTGGGAGACAACTTCTTGTCGGTCCCTTAAAAAAAGATGAATGTCTTTTACTTCATCTTATTGTTTGGATCCTCTGCCCCCCCTTCCACCAATCATGCACAATGCTCTGCTGTCGATCTTCGCATAATCTATGCGATCATGAACAATGAACCAATTGATTGGCCTAGTCTAATTCTTTTAACTATGCTCAAAGTCAAGCGCCATCCTACCTTCAAAATTACCTATGCTCTCCTTATCTCCAGAATTCTTGAATACAAGGGAGTTAATGTTGAAGGTGAACAAGTGTTTCACACGTTAAATTTCAACCGAATGCTTGATAGTACACTATCTCAGCTGCAAATGGTCAACACTGATGGAACTTATTTTCATAAGGATCATGCGCCTAATGCCACTACTGTTGTTGTTGATTCTGAAGATGATGAGATGGTTGTTGTTGATGCTCCTGTCGAAGGGACTTCATCTAGTGCCCATACTGAAGCCTGCCCCTCCCTTGAAGATATGGTTTTTAACATGAACCAAAGGATGTAGGACTTCTTTACAATCTCTGAACATAAGCATCAGGAGATTGTGAATCTCATTTCGGAAGTGGATTCACGTGTGTCGTCCCTTGAAGACAAATTTGATATCCAATTTAACGAAGATTCTCAATCTGATGAATTTTAACTCTTGTTTTCATAAGCTTAGGTCTTTTCCAATCCATATTATGTAATGTTTTTGTTAATAAATTTTTGTTCATACACTACTACAAAGGATGTTGAAAGTTATCATACTTTCAACGTCGGTTCTATTTAACCGACGTTGAAAGTTATCGGACTTTCAACGTCGGTTAAATAGAACCGACGTTGAAAGTCCGATTTTTCAAATTAAATTTTTTTATTTATTTCCAACCTTTCCAACCCCTCTATTTATCTAGAAATCCCCCTCTCTTTTATATTATATTTTTATTAGGTCCCTCTCTCTTTTATATTATATTTTTATTATTTATCATATTTTTTTTAAGTTTAAAGCATTACCAAATTATTTTTTTGTCAGCTGACAGATTCGAACCCAGTACCTTAGTGTTGGAGGCTGATACTCCAACCACTAAACTACTCGAATTTTTTGATAGTAAGTTACAAATAAATTATATTTATATACAAATAAATATATATCCGTGTAAATATATAAATACAAATATATTTATATATTTTGATATATTTATATAATTATATATTTATATATTGGATGTGAGGGCATGCTCGAAGGTGAAAGTGTGTGTCGAGTGGGTTTTCAAAATTTAATGCCAAATTTGTGAGCGAGTCTCTATATATGGGTTTGTAATTTAATGACGAGAATATAATATTTATAATTTATTTATATAATGATATAAAATAAATTTGAAAAACGCATCATTCGCTCAAGTGACACATTCGCTCAAGCAAAAAATACCAATTTTCGCTCAAGCTAGGCTTGAACAAGTGAATTTACGTGAGCTTTAACGTATTTTCACTCAAACGAGAGTCAATCTCACTTTCACCCTCGATCGCGCCCTCACATCCAACATAAAAATATATAAATATATTTGTATTTATATATTTACACGGATATATATTTATTTGTATATAAATATAATTTATTTGTAAATTATTATCAAAAAATTATAGTAGTTTAGTGGTTGGAGTATTAATTTTCAACTCTAAAATACTATATTCGAATCCTATCAGTGACAATTCTCTAACTTAAGTGAATTTTTACTTGAAAAAAATAAAAACACTTTCCGGAAAATATATATAAATAAATATATATTTACACGGATATATATTTATTTGTATATAAATATAATTTATCCGTAAGTTATTATCGAGAAAATTACGAGTAGTTTAGTGATTGGAGTATGAGCTTTCAATTCTAAAATACTAGGTTCAAATCCTGTCAGTGACAATTCTCTAACTTAAGTGAATTTTTGGTGAAAAAAAATAAAAACACTTTCCAGAAAATATAAATAAATATATATTTATACGGAATATATATTTATTTGTATATAAATATAATTAATTTGTAAGTTATTATCGAGAAAATTACAGTAGTTTAGTGGTTGGAGTATCAACTTTCAACTTTAAAGTACTTGGGTTCGAACTCTACCGAGTGACAATTCTCTAACTTAAAAGAATTTTTGGTGAAAACACATTCAATGTCGGTTCCAGATGAACCGACGTTGAATGGCGACGTTGAAAGCATATTTTGTAGTAGTGATAATTGATTTATTGAGGGGGAGTCATTTACTTTCTAGCATTTATTGAGGGGGAGTTTTTGCTTATGTTTATTGTTTGTCTTTTTGTTTATGATAAAAAACACGGAGAATATATTTAAAAGTCTGGTATGTTAAATATTTTTCTGATAGTTGTGACATAATACAGGTTATTACAAAGAGGCTCTAAAGAAAATTTTGATCATCATCAAAAAGGCGGAGATTGTTGAAAATGCAAGGATATGGTGACTAAAGATTTTGATGATGATTCAAGAACAAATGACTTCAAGATTAGAAGACTTATATACATTTGAAATTTGTTTGTAATAACTTTATTTTGTCATTTTGAGTATATAAAAATAGAGTCCATGATAGACAGCACTTAGTATGTCTCCAAAAGATTCATTCTTATCAAGGTCGCACTAGAATAATCGATTATCACTCAGGATAATCGATTATCCTAGATAAACTTTAAGTTTTTTGAAAGTGGCTATGGAATAATTGATTATCTCTGAGGATAATCAATTATCTATGGCTGTTAAGGATTTAAATTCGAAATTGGCTATGGAATAATTGATTATCACTCAGGATAATCGATTATCCTGGACAAAATTGATTTTTGTATATTAGTTTTATGATAATCGTTTATCACTAATGATAATCGATTATTTGTGTTAGTTATGAATTTGAATTTCGAATTTTAGACCTAATTTTTGAAAACCCTAAAATTGGAAACCCTAAAACTCTATTTAAAGGACTCTCATGCTCTCAAAAAAAAAATGACAAACCTTTTTCATACTCATAAGTTAAGAGTTGTGATTGCTGAGAGAATTTTGAGTAGGGAAGAAAAAGGGGCTTTGAAAACCTAGTGTGGGCTAAAAGCGATAAGAATCATTGAGTGGGTTTCTTAGTGAATTGAGTGTTGTGTTGTCTCTAGGAAAGTTGTTTTCATCCTTTGTGGCTTCAAAGGAGGTGTTCATCTCTTGTGTAACTCAAGAGAGGTGTTTTCTAATTCTTACTATTTGTAATTTGTTTATTTGAGAATCATTATTTTAGTGACTGAGTTAATCATCTTTTAGAGTGATTAACAACTGAACGTAGGGTCTTTTGATCCGAACTAGTATAAATTACTTGTGTAATCTTCTTCCCTGTAGACCCTAAATCTTGCCCGACCTCAAAATAAGAGCAGAAGACCTACTATTCGAAGATGGACGAAGCCTAAAAAGCCACAAGGAGAGACTATTAGGCCCCATGTTAGAGTAGGAAGGATTTTCTGTACAAAAATAAGGATTTTTGCCTTCAGAGTCAAGACCGTCGTCTCGCTTTTCGGGAGCGCAATCTCGCCATTGATGCAAGTCGAGACCGTCGTCTCGTTTGGCGAGACGGCTGTCTCGCCACTTGCCAATGGCGAGACCCCCCTCCCATTTGGCGAGAAGGCCTTCTCGTCACTTGAAAAGTCGATATCGCCGTCTCGTTTGGTGAGACGGCGGCCTCGCCACTTTTCCAAGTTGAGACCGTCGTCCCGAATGGCGAGATAGTCGCTCGACCTTGCCAGTGGAGACCGCCGTCTCGACCTGACAGGCGCGAATCCCTATAAAGAGTGAGCGCTCCCCCCCTCATTTCACATAGTTCTTCCACTTTCCCTTCTACACTTTCTTCAAATTCTCTTCCTAGAGTCCCTCCGAAGCATTTCCGGAGTTTGAGTGTCTTAGAGAGCTTTTTATAGCATTTCGAGAGTGATTTTCGGCGTTGTAAGAGCGAAGGGCTGTCAAAACGCACCCTATTTTCAAAAGAATTAATCAAAAAGCTTACTTCGGAGGTTCTTTCACTCTCTCCCTCTCTTTTACTGTCTTTATATTTTATAATTAAATTACATAATAGACATTAGGGCCATGTAATCATTATTTTAATTCCGCAAATAAAAGGGTAAAAGCATCTTTTCGAAAGTTTATCTATAAAATAATTGGCACATCATAGGAAACCCGAAAGGGGCGTCATAAAGGAACTAACACTTCCCTTACACGTAACTAACTCCCTTACCCAACTCTGGTTTTAACGACCAAAGTTGGTTTTCGAAAACCAACACCTTTTTTCTCCTTTTTCGATGTTTCTGGTAAAAACATCGGTGGCGACTCCATTAGAACCCTTTCAAACTAGTTCTTAGGTCAACCCGGTTATCGGACGACCTAAGAACACCTTTTCGAAAACCTCGCCCTTAGGTTCATCCCGGTTATCGAACAACCTAAAGGCGTTGTAACATCACCCATAAAAACACGAAAAATGGAAAAGTCGAAACCATCGCGTCGCTCTGACCGCCTCTTTTTGATGGCGGCGACAGATGGCGACTCCACTAAGGAAGCCTAGAGAGTTTATCCCATTTAGTGATGGGCCAGTTTAATAAATAAACTAAGAAGTTACGCTTTTACCCTACCTTGTATTATAACATGTTTTAATTGCTTGGCTTTAATAACTGTTGTTTTTTTATGTTTACGCAATTGTTTAAAATACAAACTGTACACAAACCTTTGCACACAACAGTTCCCTCTATACACGGGGGCAAGTGAGAAATCCATAGGGAGTGGGTGGCAGGTACGGTTTGCCGTAGTGATGGCCCTGAGCCCACCAGTGTGATCGGAAACCACCACTCAAGGTGATAACCTTCCTCTTTTGGCACAAAGACTGACTATGACCTTAGTGCTAAGCATGGTCGGAAGGTTGGAGAGTGGGGACCCTATAATGGGGGCACCTTGGGGGCCTAAGCCTTAGTGAGAACAGCTAGAACCTACCCTTGCCAATGCAATTTTCTGCAGGAAAACCCTACCTCGTGATTAAATCGACTTCTCGCCTGTTCGCAGATGATTGAATTGTGTGTGCATTTGTTTGTTGCATTTGATTGCATAACATAACCAAACAATAGAAAAATCACAAAAAACATTTTTTGCAATAAACGCCCTTATCTCGGATAGTCTGCCTTTTAGCTAGTCTGGTTTCAGGTTCTTTGCAAGCTAAGTAGCCACGCAGTCCGACAGAAGAGATAAGGGACGCTAAACATTCTTCTTTCGCAATAAGCCATTTTATCTCGGACAGTCTGCCTTTTAGCTAGCCTGGTTTTAGGTTCTTTGTAAGCTAAGTAGTCACGCAGTCCGACAGAAGAGATAAAAGGCTCTAAAATAAAATCAAATAAAAACCCAAATCAAATAAATGTGACCATGTTCATAAACATTAAATCATTCATGTAGGTAGTTTATTCTTCCAAAAGACAAAATACGCAAATACTATCATACATCATGTAGAAATAAAA